CACACATTTATTTACCCATTCCATCAGGCGTTGCGTGACGTAAAAAAATTACATATTGAACGGTGACGAATATAAATGGAACATCATGAACAATTATTAATAACACTATAAGTCGCTTGATTATGAAAGTAGGGGAATGTGTGTTTGTGTTCACCAAGGCTTGAAAATGAGTGATAATGAGTGAGAAGTGAAGATGATGCAGTGCTGAAAATGTTAATAAAAATGATTTGAGATGATAATATGATGTGTAAAATATGAGAATGACTCTATCATACTATCTTACTTTAATAAGATGAAATATGCAAGTGAACTGTAGTGCAATGATATAGCCGTGAGGAGAGAGAGAGCAGGAGAGAGAGACAGAGAGAGGACAGAGAAGAGAGAGAGAGAGAGAAGAGAGAGAGAAATGTCAAATGAGATTGTGAAAAAAATACCTAAATGAGAATTGTCTTCCCTGAGAGAATGTGAGAATATATATAAATATTTAAAATACTATATGTCTACCTGAGAATTGATATATATATATATATATATATATATATAATATATAAATAAGAGAATGAGAATATAAGATAGAGAGATGAGAGAGAGAAGATATAAGAGAGAGAGAGAGAGAGAGAGAGAGAGAGAGAGAGAGAGAGAGATATTTATACTTCTCAGTTATTCACATTCCACAACTGTTGAGTTGTGATAAAAGTCGAAATGTTTCCACCCACCTACAGTGTAGAGTGAGAACAATGAAGCACGTATGTATCACAACAGGTGTGAGCGAGGTAGGGCAGATGTGGTGATGAATTTAGCACAGCAGTGAATAGCTACTAGAGCAGCTACACAGTAAGTTTATTGTGAGGTACAGGTGTTGTACCTGACCAGGTGATTATCATTACCTGTGTTGCTGACTCAGTTCTTTGGCAAAGACACATGTGTAGCAGTGATAGAGAGGGATGGCAGGTGTATCGAGGATGCAGGTGTGATTGTCGAGGCACCAGCTGAAGCATACATGTGTGTATAGGTCTGAGGCCGACTTGCACCTATTGTGAATAGGTGTGAGATTGATTTGCACCTGGTGTGAGGCTGACTTGCACCTCTTATGTGCAGATATGAGGCTCACTTGCACCTATAGTGTACAGGTTTGAGACTGACTCGCACCAGGTGTATTTATGCCTTACATCAAATGACCATAGGTCTGATACTGGCTTTGCACCAGTTACGTGGATAATTTGCACCAGGTGTGTACATAAGTGAGTCTAACACACCAGACGCCAAACTTCCAGGTATGAGACGTATTTACAGCTGTCAAGTGTGTCGCATGAGGGAAGTACGAGAGTAATCACACACGGCATCACTTACAGAATTACAGCACCATAGATAAACATCAGTATAACAGAACACAGACGCCAGAAACTGTACAGAACTACACAGTAGCAGAATAGTTAGGGATGTGTGTTGAGTTTGGTGCCGTGGGGGGCTGTAGGGTATCCACCATGCACGGCCTACGGCATGTTGAGACAGTAGGCTGTTCACAGGGTGGACTCCGTGATGGGTGGTAGGCTGGCTAGCCGTGTAGCTGCAGCCAGACCCAGGGTGGTGGTGCTGCAGGGGGCCAGCCCCCTGCCCGACCTGCGCCCCCCAGGCACCCCGCTGTGCTATGATCGCGTAAACCTCACTGACGAAAACCTCGAAGACTGGCGCTGGAACGCTCTTTTCCTCCCGCATAGGATCCTCTTGAAGGCGTTGCGGAACTCTGGGCTGAAGACGGTGTAAATGATGGGGTTGAGTGTGGAGTTGAAGTAGCCCAGCCATAGGAAAGTAGCGATCAGGTAGGGATTAAAATGGCAGGAAACGGTGCAGAGAGGCATCAGCACCGCCAGGATGAAGAAGGGAAGCCAGCACATGACGAAGGCGCCCGTGATGATACCCAGCGTCTTGGCTGCCTTCCGCTCCTTCCGTGACTCGAACTCCCGCCGCCGCATGTGTCGCGGGACGACCTGGGAAGCTACAGCAGCCACCCCGGACGTCGAGTCTTCCCGGCTGCCGTCCACGGGATGGCCATTGAGGGTGCTGCCGTTCGAGGTCTTTTCCGGCGAGGGCTGCGATGACATCCTGGTGAAAGTGGTCGTCTCGCTGATGGTGACGGGGCCGCGACACAGTGCAGACTGCGCGTTGGTGCCGATCTTCCGTCTTATGCGCTTCCTGGCCGCCTGGTAGACCCGCCAATAGAGGACGAGGATCACCGCCAGCGGGAGGTAGAAGGAGGTGATAGTAGCGAAGATCTGGTAGCCCACGTCCTGAGAGATGATGCACATTTTGTTGCGTAGGCGCTCATGCCATTCAGGGTCCTTCCAGCCCATCATAGGCGCAGCAGAGATCAGGAAGGACACCACCCAGATGACCGCAATCATGCCGCCCACCCGCTGGGGTGACCTCTGGTGTATGTAGTCTACGTTGGTCACCGCCCAGAACCTGCAAGACATCAGGTCACTAGAAGTCAGGTCACTGCCTGGAACCCTATTTATGTGGGAAAGAAGTAATTGTAAACTTACACTGTGTAAGTGGGTGTAATTACCCATGGCATTTGTAATTACCTGTTGGTGTGTGTGTGTGTAACCTCCTCCTCATAATTACCCATCTGAATGTGTATACATATTTCTGAGTGCATTTGAGTGTTTGTTCTTTGAGTGCATGTGTGTGTCTATTTTTTAATGTGTGTGCATCTTACTGCGTGTGTGAGAGTTAGGTCTTCATCGAAGATGCTGAAGAGTAGTGTACAAAGGCTTTCTTTCTCCCATTTCGCACACTAAAGTGTGCATGTGTTATTATCCGGCTGCTCCACTTGTTTACCATCCATGACTCTGGTAAAATGTATTAACTTCAATAAATGGAATGAAAAACATGGGAATATATCACAAAATCTGTCACAAAATTGCATTATTAGAAATATAATTACGTTGAATTAATTCGGACTGGTTTTGTCGGCGGGTTGGGTGAGGGTGAGTGAGTCAGTTTGAGATGGGTCATAGTGTTGCCAGATGGATGAGAGTGACTGTATGGTAAACGAGTGTGTGTTGTGAGTGTGTTGCAGATGAATGTTGTGTGTGTATGTGTGTGTATGTGTGTGATTGTGTGAGTGTGTGTGTGTGTGTGTGTGTGTGTGTGTGTGTGTGTGTGTGTGTGTGTGTGTGTGTGTGTGTGTGTGTGTGTGTGTGTGTACTCACCTAGTTGTACTCACCTAGTTGAGGTTGCAGGGGTCGAGTCCAACCTCATGGCCCCGCCTCTTCACTGATCGCTACTAGGTCACTCTCCCTGTATCGTGAGCTTTATCATATATCTGCTTAAAGCTATGTATGGATCCTGCCTCCACTACATCGCTTCCCAAACTATTCCACTTACTGACTACTCTGTGGCTGAAGAAATAGTTCCTAACATCCCTGTGATTCATCTGTGTCTTCAACTTCCAACTGTGTCCCCTTGTTACTGTGTCCAATCTCTGGAACATCCTGTCTTTGTCCACCTTGTCAATTCCTCTCAGTATTTTGTATGTCGTTATCATGATTCATCTGTGTCTTCAGCTTCCAACTGTGTCCCCGTGTTGCTGTGTCCAGTCTCTGGAACATCCTGTCTTTGTCCACCTTGTCAATTCCTCTAAGTATTTTGAAAGTCGTTATCATGTCACCCCTATCTCTCCTGTCCTCCAGTGTCGTCAGGTTGATTTCCCTTAACCTCTCCTCGTAGGACATGCCTCTGAGCTCTGGGACTAGTCTTGTTGCAAACCTTTGCACTTTCTCTAGTTTCTTTACGTGCTTGGCTAGGTGTGGGTTCCAAATTGGTGCCGCATACTCCAATATGGGCCTAACGTACACGGTGTACAGGGTCCTGAACGATTCCTTATTAAGATGTCGGAATGCTGTTCTGAGGTTTGCTAGGCGCCCATATGCTGCAGCAGTTATTTGGTTGATATGTGTTGCAACCCCTGAATGGGTTACAATGATTATTATGTATATATATAATGTATATTATCTTTTCATATAATTTTATATTGCTTATATTTGCGATAATAGCTAAATCGTAAATATATTGCTTTATATTCTTATTTGACTTATGTTGTTAGGATGTTACATATTACATATTGTTAGGATGTTACATAATATGTGCTCAGTTCAAGTCTTGATTGTCAAACTACTGTAATTATCGCTTGTCGCTCGTTATACTGCCGGCTTCTGAGCTGTGCTGTCCACGTTGCTATCACGTGATCGAGGGGGGGTGTCCTCACCTCGCCTAAAGTATTCAGTCTGCTCTAGACTCTCTTGGTGGTTGGACAGATTGTCTGTCTCATTATTCTTGTTAGTTCTGTAGAACTCTGTTCACAGAACATTGTATAGACTTCGTGATTTTCGACGTTGTACTGAGGCTGTGTGTCACATAGACACTCGAAACATCTCAGGTCCTGAGCTGTAACTTCTCACTTAACTTGTACTGGTATCTGTGTATTATCACAGTCAGGGATTTTCTTATGCTGAACTTAGATTCAGTAGTATGGGAGTTTTGTGACTTTTGTGGAGGATCTGCAGATGGTCCCTACTTAGTGTCGTTATATTATCTCCTTGTTCCTGATTCTGTGTCGCAGTCGCTTGTTGTATTGCTATTGGGCTTTAGCATTCTTTTTGTGGTTCAAGCAGACTGTTCTGGTTGCCTGTCGGTCAAGAAGTTAGTTTGTGAGGACTTTGTCAGTCACTTGTTTAAGTCTAGTCGAGTCGTGAGACATAGCGAACTACTTAAGAGCACTTACACACATACACACTTACTTGTACATATTTGTAATATCTTATTAAATGTTAATGTACCTGACGGTACTTAAGAATTATAAATGTGATATGTGCTTTCAGCACAATAATATTGAACTCGAGAGATTGATTTTATTTTGATTGCTGTGATTAATTTAATTTGATAATATACCTCTAGACTTAATAAATTTATTAAATTTTAATTTCTCTAGTTAGTAGCCTACCAGTTGTAATCCTGAAGCACTATTGAATAATACTGAATTTTAATGGATAATTGGACAAGGATACTGACTACTTGTTACGAAAACCCAGTAACAGGCTGGATGCTAGAAGGGCAGTCCTTTCTAGTATTCACTGGAGATCTCTAAGCTTTTAGAATCGCGTTTTTTGTAACAATGTGCGCTTCAGGAGATGTACCTGGTGTTATACTCACCCAAGATCTTTTTCCTTGAGTGAGGTTTGTAGTCTCTAGCCCCCTAGACTGTACTCCGTCTGCGGTCTTCTTTGACCTTCCCCAATCTTCATGACTTTGCACTTGGTGGGATTGAACTCCAGGAGCCAATTGCTGGACCAGGTCTGCAGCCTGTCCAGATCCCTTTGTAGTTCTGCCTGGTTTTCGATCGAATGAATTCTTCTCATCAACTTCACGTCATCTGCAAACAGGGACACCTCGGAGTCTATTCCTTCCGTCATGTCGTTCACAAATACCAGAAACAGCACTGGTGGGACCCCGCTGGTCACTGGTGCCCACTCTGACACCTCGCTACGTACCATGACTCGCTGCTGTGTGTATGTGTGTGTGTGTGTGTGTGTGTGTGTGTGTGTGTGTGTGTGTGTGTGTGTGTGTGTGTGTGTGTGTGTGTGTGTAGGTGAGTGAATATTTTGCGCTTGTGCGTGTGAGTGAATATGGTTTCTGTGCGTTTCAGGTGAGTGTGTGTTTAGGGGGAGAGGATGTATTATAGGCGCGTTTGTGTGTGTGTGATTGTGTATGTATGTAATTGTAGGACGTCATCTCGTAACCTCTAGCCCCATTTCTCAGTCTGTATTGACCGGTTTTAGTGGCTAAAATGACCCCATGCTTCCTACTCTCAAAATTGTATTTACTATTTGCCTCCATCGGCCCAACATCTGGTGCTCGCTGATTTGTGTGTGGATGTGTGTGGATTCTTGGTTCCTGCTACTGGTCGCTACTGAGTTCAGTCTCTTCGGGAACCCTATCATAACTTTTCTAAAAGCAGTGTACAGGTCGTGCGTCTACCGCTTCGTTCTCAAACTCATTCCACTTTCACATCACTATGAGGAGGTAGAATGACCTTTACAACAAGGGCGTGTCTATCGTCAAATCACATATTGCCATTTAAACGACCACCCAGTTTCATTTAGTCTTGATATCAGCGAAAGCGATGAAACACAGACAAAGAACTAAGAAAGTTCCGTGAAAAGATTGAACAACGAGAGGAAGATGAAGCATTTGGATATCTTTCTGAAACCTTATGCAAAAGAATATTAAAAGAACTTCTGTATTTGCATGTAGAATTAACAACATAAAGGTCAAGCTGTAGCGACAATATTTATGACCCTTGGTGCATATATCTATTGCTTACCAACGGTAATTGTTATATCTATAGTTGACGAATGGTAGTTGCAAAAATAAACACAGAAGCAGTATAATGTGATCCTTTATTGACAACGTTTCGCTCATACAGTGAGCTTTATCAAGTCACAAACAGATTTACCTGGATGAAACGTAAGTGAGAATTTACAGGATGGAGTCAGGTGGAGAATGCTGGGTTGATTGAATCTGAACCTGCATGTGACGTGTACTTAGCTCAGTGGTGACGTGTACTTAGCTCAGTGGTGACGTGTACTTAGCTCAGTGGTGACGTGTACTTAGCCAGTGGTGACGTGTACTTAGCCCTGTGAAGACCTGTTTGCGCGCTCTCTACGAATTGAAGCAAGATGCCCTCCATCGAGCAACTTTACTAACAGCTTAAGGAAGAATTGAGGATGGCAAAGATGGAGATTCGGCGACTGACCGAGGAAAACAAGAAGATTCGTAGTAGTCCTCCTGTTTTGAGTCCTCAGGTCAAGAAGGGAAACTGGTCAGTGACTGGACAGCAGGGAACGAAGTTGACGATCAAGAAGACGAATGGAAAAGTAGAAACGATGAAGAAGAAAGAGACTGCCGTGGAAACTGTTGTGGAAACATCTAATACATTCTCAGTGCTACCCGACGAATGTGAGTCGAATACTGGGAACATCACGACGAACGACACCAAGGAAGGTAAGAATATTGTTGTTGTTGGGGATAGCCAAGTTAGGTATATGGATAGGGCGTTCTGCTTGAAGGACAGGAGTAGGAGACAGAGAGTTTGCTTTCCTGGGGCAGGGATGGAGGATATTGTTAGCCGTCTGGATGACATCATGAGAGGTAATGGGAGCAATCCTATTATCTGTCTCAGTGCTGGAGGCAACGATGTTGGCAGACATAGGAGTGAAGACCTGATTAGCAGGTATAGGTCAGCAATAGAATTAATTAGGAGTAAGGGTGGGAACCCTGTCATATGTGGTATTTTGCCAAGGAGAGGAGTTGGAAATGAATGGTTGTCCAGGGCAATTGGTGTCAATTGCTGGCTGGACAAATACTGTAAGGAAAATGCGGTAACATTGAAAACTGGGACCTGTTCTATGGCAAAAATGACATGTATGCCAGGGATGG